TTGTTTTAAAAAGAAAAATATTTCTTAAGTTCATTTAATTTTTAGAAACTTATTTAATTGTTTTCTTTTTTGTTTTTTCTCAATTTAATTTTTTTAAGTTTTAGATTTTATTGTTTTAAGCAGACATTTTTTTGTAATCTAGTTAAATTTTTATGAATTTATTTCATTTTCTACTGTTTTTAGTAAATATTTATTTTTAATTTGATACTCGTTTAATTTTTGGATGTTGTTGTTTAAAAAAGAAAAATATATACTTGTTAAATTTCACTTACTTGTTATAAAGTTATTTTATTTATATTTCTTCTTTTTAAATTAAATTAAATTCCTTTTTTAATTAAATTATCTTTTGATTTTTAGTTTGTATTGATTTAAAAAGGAAAATATAAAGGTATATTTTTTTATTTAATTAGATTTTTAGAAAACTTATTCATTATTAAGTCTTTCTCGTTGGCAGATCTGTCAATTAGTCTTTCGTAAGAAAGAAAAGAGCTTTCAATAGTGTTATGGAGCTTTGCACCATGATTTTGTTTTCAGGGAAAATGGAAAAGTAACAAAGTCTAAGTGGTAGAAGTTGTAGCTATGTAGCTATGTCGGAGATCACCATTTCTCCTTATAGGCCAGTATCAGACTTCTTTTTCAAGACTTCAGCAGGGAACGAACCCTGTACAAAGGCAGCAACAAAATCGTTGTTCAAAGCTCAATAACACTATTGCAGGAAATATTAATACGCCACAATAAAATTGACGAAAGAAAAGAGCTTTCAAGATAGTTGCCAGAATTGCCCTCATAGTCACCTAAGCCTAGTTTGTTCACTATTAAATATTTTCTTCTAAGGGTATTCGTATGAGCAAGAAATTTACTCGATCACTGTTTTATCTTAAACTTGCGTCTGCGAGCTTTTTAGCCTATGGCTTTATTTAGGAATAACAGAGCCTAAACAAATTGGAGGGTTGAAGCGACTCAACCATTAAACGTGACGAAGTGTGGATAAGCCATAAACGATATTCACAGAGAGTCCATCACCACCTGACCCAATTAACGTCTGGTTACTGCAGGCGACTGGACCCATATTTATCGAAACTCGACCCCGACGTACACGTCTTCACCTGCTCAGCTAACACCCCAATACATATTGCTCGACTTTATGGAATCAGCAATAATAATAAAAAAAAAATAACAAAAACATTTGCAGCCAACACCACCACTTACCGATGCTTCTGTATTTCACTGATGCCACCACGCTGATAGCCCAAACGCTCAGCTGGATTATCGCGGCACAGTTTCTTAATTAGGTTGCTGGCGTTGCGTGTAATATCGCGCGGAAATTCGATGGCATCAATACCCTTCAAGATAATGTTGTAGGTACGCATTGGATCCGAACCGGTGAATGGTGGCGTGCCTGCAGAAAGTAACAAAAAAATAAATATTAAAATCAATTAAAAATACATTTACGCCAAATTCCACTCACCGGTCAGCAGCTCAAACATCAGCACACCCAGTGACCAATAGTCAGCGCTAATATCATGTCCCCGATTCAATATCACCTCAGGCGCTACATACTCTGGCGTACCGCAGAAGGTCCACGTCTTGCGGCCCGACTGTAATTTCTTAGCAAAACCAAAATCCACCAACTTAACATAGCCCTTCTCGTCGAGCAACAGATTTTCCGGTTTCAAATCACGATAGATTATGTTGCGTGAGTGCAGATATTGGAAAGCCTCCACCACGCAGGCGGTGTAGAAGCGTGTGGTGGCATCATCGAACTTACAACGATCACGCAATATTGTCCACAACTCGCCACCCAGACAACT